TGGATTCGTTAGTCACGTCGGACGTACCCAAATAATAATTTGTTCAAAAAAAATTACTTATTCATTCAATTATATATACATGCAGTCGCACATGGCAAATAGTCTCGGCATCTTCGGCTGCCGGGAGTGTCGTGACATTCGTCCGACCGTTATCTTGGCCTGCGCACCCCCGCGGCTGGAAGGATGCGATGCGCTTCGGGACACATGGTCCCGCCGCGAAGATGCCAACGTGGCACTCTCTATGTCTGCATTATTTCCCGCCAAAAGTCAGTCAGTCGTAATCCATGCATTGACGCGGACCAGCCGCAGTTCGTCTCCCCCGAATGGCCAACGCCTAGCGACTATATTTCTGTCAAATATATTCACGTCGTATTCCTTCTAATAATGTACGCTGCAACGGTCGTCCACGTGAGCGTTTACTCTCTTATGAAGTGCACTTTTGTCATCTGCTATTTTATCTCTTATGATCCTTAAGATCATGTTTACGATACATCCTAGTTATTCAATGGAAGAAAGAGAAGAATTAAATGAGTTTGTTGGTACTTTGTTTGTATTGTAGCAAGAGTAATTGATCTCGATATTTATTTCATAGGTCTCGTCAGGTCAAGCGGCTAATCGGCCAAAATACATGTCGTATCTTCGGGGGCAGGCCCACCATGCCCGCGTACCATCTTCATGGTTACCTCTCATTCTACCACAGAACTCTACGGCGCAACGCCCCCCTCTAAAGATGGGTGACCAGGCACCTCCTCCCCAACCTGGGTTTGTGTTGGCAGGGTTATATCCAGCGCCGATGCCATCTACTCAAGCGCCCTGTCACCACAAAATTGGTGCATCGGCCCCAGCCGTTTCTGTCGAAAGGCAGACTCGGCTGTGGAGATCGACCCGTCGTTGCGCCTTTGTATGGGTATCAAAAGTACAGCATTCAGTCAGCGCGTAATGCGCCTATCAAAACGCTACCGGTAGGCCCAGTCTCCTAGGATCATGGATTGGAACCAGTGCCGCGGCAAGGACCAGTGGCAGTGGTCCTTTCGGCGTTAAGTCCTTCTGATAAATCTCGCAGGTAGCACCGGCCAGTCAGGGCCCGCATGAGCTCGGAGTTAGGGGCTCTAGTCGTCTTGTAAACGTAGCAGCTTTGGCAATCTTGGGTGTTTCTGCTGGGGAGGCCCCAGCTATAATACGTTGAATGCCATTGGGAAGGCCGTTCAAAATACGGGATGCCCTTTGGGAGGCCGTTGATGCCACGGGGTAGGCCCAGGTACACCAAGAGCACGACAGCTCCGGGGTTGGCCAAAACCGCTCGTTCACATACGCTAGGTGGTAGCGTAATTGTAGTCGCATTCCGTAAGTCAGCTCAATTTTCCATGCTGTTTCCTACCTAGTTGCATATTACCATTTCCAATGCGTTCTTCATCACTTGTTGCCACACACGGTACCAGATCGTTTCGTATTTGTTACGCTCGCGTACAAGTGATCGTTAGTGACCATCAAACCAGGTATCACCTTTTTAGCTTATAGGTTTGTTGCGACAGTCTTGAACGTCGACTCCATGTCTAACTTGCGTGGGCACAAGAGCCGTTTAACATCAGCGGTCGGTACTCTTTCAAAGACAATTTCCTCTGTCGATTTAACTTATTTAACTTCCTTAGATACTTCAACGGCACCAGAGATCCAGCTCCGAGAGATCATCCGTCGCAGAGCAACAATTACTGGCAAAAAGTTTGCCATCCAACGTGCGTTGGAAGTCGTGAAAGAGCGCTACAATGCTCTCATGCTTTTTGTGCAAAGTCGGGAAGATAGCTCTTCGCTAAGCGAAGAAATCGATCAGTTTTGGAGCCAACTTTATGGCGAAAAGTTTGAGCAAGACGCGACAGAAACAATACTGGCGCTCGACACCCAACTCACCATAGACGAAGCGTTAGAAACATCACTTCGATCACAGATTACAGAAAATATCACGCACGCCGCAGCAACTCTTGCTATTTCAGATTCTCCTGGTCGCCTCAATTCGTCTAGCGACCCCCCGTCGGAATCTAACAGGGAAAATCCGCATCAGCCATCGTTTAACTACTCCACCCCTCATCAGTCGATTCCTCTCGTGCAGC